ATATACACACACTTATCTAGCTAAAAATAAAGTTGAGAAGGACAATCAAGAAAACCAGCTTGATTTACGTGAGAAATCAATGTTAGAGAAAGCTCATCCTGAGTCACATTTTCAGGGTAGCTTCTTACTGTCAGTCCTAAAATTGTGGATTCCCAGAAAACTCAATGCACACAAATTTTAAACATTCAGCATAACTTTTCAAGGCCAAATTAAATGCCTTTTAATTTTAAAAATGATGCTCTCAATCTCCTATGGAAGCAAATATTCTCAGTTGCTTATAAAAAAATAGTATGTTTAATAATTCTGAAATCCTGCCAAAGCTACGTATACTAACATGTATTTTTTTAATGTACTAATAAGTTCATCAGTAATATATACCTGAACTTGTCTAAATATTCCAGGATTATATTCATCCAAATACTTTACATGCCACACTAGAAAGGTACCATCGACAGGGTGTATGGTAAAAAGCATGTCAGGATTCTTATTCCATTCAGTTAGCAACATTTCAATCTTCCGGTCAAGCAGGACTGTAGGCAGCGGCATTGGCATCCGAGGTCGTGAGTAGATTCTAGGACTTCCCTCTCTTTCCCCATCTTCATGCTCTGATGATCCTGTACCTGCCTCAGATTCTCTATCCAGGGATAATTCTGAACCAGAAAATAAAATGATCAGTTCATAGTTAAAAAAAACACTCTCATCGAGTTGATTAGTGACCCAATATAAGGTTTCTGAGACAACATCTTTATGGGACAGACAGCCTTAGCTCCCATGAGTAGCTGGTAGGTTTGAACCAGTAATCTTGCTGTTAGCAGCCCACCATGGAACACCCTGTACCACTGTGGATTCTTATGTACTTAATAGTACTATAAAACTTCATATACGTCCTAGGTTACAATAAGCAAAACAAAAGAATCTAGGAAAATGGGAAGTTATCAAAAGTGAAATGGAGCACATAGAGATCTAAGCATTAGTGAGCTAAAATGGACTGGTATGAACTATTATGAATGAAACCATCATATGGCCTACTATGCCAGGAATGACCGATTCAAGAGTAATGTTGTTACATTCATCGTCAAAAAGAACATTTCAATATCTTGAAGTACAATGTTGTGTGTGATAGGATAACATCTGTATACCTACAGGGAAGACCAGTTAATGCAACTCTTATTCAAATGCACCAATCATTGAAGTCAGTGATGAAGCAACTGAAGAATTCTACCAAGTTCTTCAGGCTGAAACTGATCAAACATGCAATAAGGATGAATTATAATCACTGGTGATTGGCATGTGAACACTGCTGATAGAAACAAAGCTAGCTATCATATGGTAGAATTTTGCAAGACCAACAATTTCTTCATTGCAAATAACTTTTATCAAAAATATTAAAGACAACTACATATGTGGAGTTTGCCAGATAAAATACAAAAGAATCAAACTGACTACATTTGTGGGAAGAGACAATGGAGAAGCTAAATATTATCAGCCCAAAAGACCAGAGGCTGACTGTGGAACAAACCATCAGTTGCTAATATGCAAGCTCAGGTTGAGCTAAAGAAAATGAAAGCAAGCCATGAGAGCCAAAATATAACCATGAGTATATTTCATCTGAATTAAAAGACCATCTCAAGAACATATGGGATCCACTGTACACAAATGACCGAAGACCTGACAGCCCGTGGGATGGCATCAAGCACGTCATACATGAAGAACGCAAAACATCATTAAAGAAGACATGAAAGGGAAAAAGAACAAATTGGATATCAGAAGAGACTCTGAAACTTATTCTTAAAAATAAAGCAGCTAGAGCAAATGGAAGAAATGATGAAGTAAAAGAGCCGAATAGAAAATATTAAAAGGGTAACTCAAGAAGACAAAGAAAAGCATTACACTGAAATGTGCATGCTCAGCATATTTTTAATCTGAACATGCTCAGCATATTTTTAATCTGAAAGAAGTGAAGAAGAATTCGTATACTGAAGGATTCCATGGGCAAATATTGGAGTATGCAGGAAGCATCAGAAGAATATGGAAGGAATGCAGTGTTACTGTACACAAAATAATTGGTTGATATTTTCCCATTTCAAGAGGGAGCATATATAATCAAGAAACAATGGTGTTGAGGGAAAAGGTTCAAGCTACCCTGAAGGCATTACCTACAAACAAGCTCCAGGAAGTGTTGCAATACCAACTGAAATGTTTCAACAGGATGGTGAAGCTCCAGAAGCACTCATAAGTCTATGCTAAGAAATTTGGAAGACAGTTACTTAGTCAACCAACTGGAGAGATCCATATTTGTGCCCATTCTAAGGAAAGGTGATCCAACTGAACGTGGAAATTATGAAGTAATATCATAAATATCACATGCAAGTAACATTTTGCTAAAGATAAAAGATAATTCAAAACCCAGAAAGATGTTCTTTGTGTTTTATTGCCTATTCAAAGGCATTCAACTATGTGGACCATAACAAATAATGAATAACATCTCAAAGAATGGGATTTCCAGAACCCTTCCGTGCGTGCACACAGAACTTACGCAGACCAAGAAGCAGGCGGTCTAATAAAATAGGGAATACTGCATAATTTAAAACCAGAAAAGGTGGGTGTCAAGGCTGTATCCTTTCCCTACGCTTATTCATTCTGTATGCTGAGCAAAGAATCTGAAAAGGTGGGCTATATAACGAACATGGCATCGGATTGTTAACAACCTTCCATGTGCACACGAAAGCCTCGCTTCCTGAGAGGGAGCGTTTCCTGATGCAGCCTTCGATGGACAGAAAACCGAAATCCTGAGGAGACCACGAGATGACGCCATGGTGATCATCGAAGAAAAGGCTGAAGTTGTCATGGATTTCATTTTACTTGTATCCACCGTCTACAGCCATGGAATTGAGTCAAGAAATCAAATAATATATTAAATTGGGCAAATCTGCTGCAAAAGATCTGTTTAAAGTGTTTAAGGGCAAGGATGTTACTTTGAGGACTAAGGTGCACCTGACACACACCATAGTGTTTTCTATCGCCTCGTATGCACAGGAAAGATGGATGAATAAAGACGGCTAGAAAAAAATTGATGTCATTAAATGACCATATTAGCAAAGAATACTGAAAGTATTTGGACTGCCTGAAGAACAAATAAATCTATCTTGGAAGAAGTAGAACCAGAATGCTCCTTAGGAACAAGAATGGTGAAATCTTATATCCTGTCATGTATCTTGGACATGCTATCAGGAGAGACCAGCACCTGGGAAAGGACATCATGCTTGGTAGAAGGAAGGGTCGGAGGAAAACAGGAAGACCGTCAACAAGATGGACCAGCCCCAATGGCTGCATCAATGGACTTAAACCTAATGACTGTGGAGGTGTCACAGGATTAGACAGTGTTTCATTCTGCTGCACAGAAGGTGGGTGAGTCAGAGCCGATTCCACGGCACCTAACATAACATAATTGACAGCATATTATCTTAAAAATAAATCCCTTTTCCAATTTATAGTTTAAAAAGAGCAATAAAGTAGTTTGTAGTCTAAATTAAATACTACTATCTTTCTTACTTTTCAGTAAGTCAAATGTCATTCAAACTATCATCATTATTACCATCAGCAAAACCTGTTCCCCAAGAAAAGTTTTAACTTCCAAAATAAAACTTTAAACACAAAAAAACAACATGACTTTTTAGGACCTAGCAAAGTACCTGGTCCTTAAGAACAGAATCAACAAATACTTATGGAAGGAAAGGAAAAGCAAAAAGGAAGAAGAAGGAAGGGAGGAATTAAAATTTAAAAGTTGGAGAGGACCACAGGGTCAGGCCCACCACGAGACACGATGTCCCTCACTGACCCATAGCATTATGGGGGACAACACTGGAGACACAGTGTGGGAACTATGCTGATCTGACCCCACCACACCAGAGCAAAACACTAAGGGCGTGCAACAGAGCAGCAAGGGGAGCAGAGCAACGAAGTCCCCGGGAATACCAAAATTAGACTTTGGGGCCAGGGCGTGGCACCCCATCAGATTTGACTAGAAAACACTCCCCTGAAGGTCAACAAACAGAGCTGGAATTATTTATAGGCTTTTCTTTTTTTGTCATTGGTTTTTCTGTTATTGTTTTCTTTCCTTTTCTTTTGTTGCTTTGTTTTGCTCTGTCTTGTTTTTGTGCATATTATTATCTCTTCAGGTCTATCTAGATAAGATAGGCGTGATAAATAATCTGGAGGAGAAAACAACGGGACCAATGGTTCTGGGTGGACATGGGAGAGGGGGAGGCGGGGGAAAGGAAGGAGGGTGTCAACCAACCCAAGGAAAAAAGGAACAACAAGTGATCTAAAATCAATGGCAAGAAAGGCAAAGGATGGTTGGTGGTGCTTGCTCAAGGGCTATGTAGCCGAGTGGAATTACTGAAACCTGAATGAAGGCCAAACATGATAGTGGGACAAGATGAAAGGAAAATGAAATAGAGGAAAGAACTAGAAGGCAAAGGGCATTTATAGAGGTCTAAATACAGGCATGTACATATGTAAATATATTTATATATAACAATAAGAAAATAGATCTGTGTACATATATTTTTATGTTAAGTATTACGGTAGCAGACAGACATTGAGCCTCTATACTCAAGTACTCCCTCAATACAAGAACACTTTGATAGCGTCTGGGGTCTTAAAGGCCTGAAGATAAACAAGCAGCCATCTAGCTGAGAAGCAACAAAGCCCACATGGAAGAAGCACACCAGCCTGTATGATCATGAAGTGGCGATGGGATCAGGTATCAGACATCAAAGACCCAGAACAAAAAAATCATATAAATGGGAATGAGGGGGAGCGCAGAGTAGAGACTCAAAGCCCATCTGTGGACAATTGTACATTCCCTTACAAAAGGGTCACAAGGACGAGACGAGCCAGTCAGGATGCAGTATAGCACCAATGAAACATATAACTTTCCTCTACTTCTTTAATGCTCACCCACCCCCCCACTGTTATGACCTCAATTCTACCTTACAAATCCAGCTAGACCAGAGCATGTACACTGGTAAAGGTAAGAGCTGGAAACACAGGGAATCCAGGACAGATAAAACCCTCAGGACCAATAATGAGAGTAGTGATACCAGGAAGGGAAGGGGAAGGTGGAGGGAGAAAGAGGGAACCGATCACAGTGATCTACAGATACCGACTGCCAGGGGGACAGACAACAGAAACGTGTGTGAAGGTAGGCAGCGGTCGGTGTAAGACATGAAAAAAAATTTTTATAAATTATTAAGGATTCATGACGGAGGGAGGGTGGGGGTGGGGGGAAATGAGCTGATACCAAAGGCTCAAGTAGAAAAAAAAATGTTTTGAAAATGATGGCAACAAATGTACAAATGTGGTTGACACAATGGATGGATGTACGGATTGTGATAAGGGCTGTAAGAGTCCCCAATAAAATGACTTAAAAAATGTTTTGCCATTTTAAAGACACAAAACTCTAAGCACAGATACTAACCATGGTCTAGCTTCATATGTAAGCCCCTCTCTCTCTCCTCCAGTGAATGCTCCTCATCCTCTCTGTCACCATAATCACTTTCATGATCTGCCTGCTTTTCAGAAAGTTTTCGTAATTGCTGCATAAATATCTCAGTAGATGATGTAAAATGAAATTCCTTGTTGTTTAACCAATGAACCACAAAGCCCCCATTTCCATCATCAACATTAAATGCTGTACCAGCCAAGACATTTGGGATATCTGTGGAAAGAAAAGAGGTAAGATTTTAGTATTAGAGTTTAATTTCTTTAAAATTATTATAAATGACTATAATAATGAAGTTTTCAATACATAGAAACTATATAAGCAAATCAACACAAATCTAGTGGGACTTATTTTAAGCTTTCATTAATTTTAATGGTAAGCATAAATATTAGGATTTAATGGTATATAGCACATATAATGTATGATGCTTGAATGAATCCTATTAAGGGGTGGTGACAGGGACAGAAAACTAAAGAGCACAATAAGAAACATTTGTGACATAGCTGGAGAAGTTTAAATACGGACTATATGCACAATATTTAGGAATTATTTCTACTTTTCTTGGTTAAGAGACTAATACTATAGTTATCATTCTTATAACTAAAAATTTCCTTATGTTTAAATGATAGTTTTTAAGTATATAAGAGTGATGTATCATTTTAGCAACTTATTTTAAAATCTGTGTGTGTGTGTGTGTGTGTGTGTGTGTGTGTGTGTGTGTGTGACTACAAGGTAAGCCTTGGACTACTAACTTTAAGATTGGTGATTCAAATCCGCCAGCCACTCCACAAGAAAGATCAAGCTATCTGCTTCCATAAAGATTTATAGCCTCAAAAACCCTATGCAGGGTCACTATTAGTCAGAACCAGATGACAGGAGATTTTGTTTTGTTTGGTACATATACAGGGGGTGCCCCCCCAAAAAAACCGGAATATTTTTCCCAAAACCATGTGTTTAATTTTTTTTTTAACAAAACAACCTTATCACCTTCAAAGTACTCTCTATTACACTTAACATTTAGTACATTTGTCAAATCTGTGATTCCATTTTTGGAAACATTTTTCAAACTCATCTATTTGGATGCTGACTGACAGCGCCGCCCTTGTTTTTTTTCTTTACCTCTTTCACACCTTCAAATCACTGTCCTTTCATGTCCCTCTATATTCACAGAAACAAAAAGAAGTCACATGGAGTGAGGTCAGGTGAGTAAAGTGTGTGAGGCAAGAGAGACATGTTGTTTTATTGCCCCAAACTGGTGCAGAGATGGCTACATGAGCAGGTGCATTGCCATGGTGGCAAAAGCAGTCCCCTGTCTGCCACAAACCAGGCCTTTATTATTGTTGTACACTGTGACTCAATCTTTTCAGAACCTCTAACTAGAGAGCTTGATTAACAGTCTGACCTGGTGGAACGAACTCCAAATGCACTATGTCCCTGACATCAAAAAATAAAAATAAAAAATAAGCATCACCGTGATCTTTGAGCCCACTTGATAAGCTTTTTTGGGCAAGGTGACCATGGCGTCTTGACTGATGTTTGCTTTCGGGGTGGTCAGAATAGCACCAGGCCTCATCACCAGTAACGACCTTGGAAAAAAGTCTGTCGCTTAAGAGCTGTCTTTGCAAAGCGTGTGGCATATGACCAGTGGACACTCTTTGCCTGGTCAGGCAGAACCCAAGGTACACATGTCACAGTGACCCTTCTCATTCCCAACTGTTGTGTTAAAATGCACTGAATCCAGCAGAATCCAGAACTTCCCCACCTCCTCAATGGTCTGTCAGTATTTAACAAGTGCAAGAATTTTGTCAACATTGTCATCCATTCGGGGAATTGACAGATGTCCAGAACGAGGTTGGTCATCAATCGACACTCCACTTCTTTTGAAACGAGGAAACCACTCGTACACTTGAGTTTTTCTCATAGAGCTTGTAAGCTGTGTTCAACATCACAACAGTTTCTGTGGCATTTGCTGAGCAGAAAACAGCCACACACTGATCTCTTAAATTGGCCATCACAAACAATGAGGTTCAAGCAAAACTGCTTTTATAAAAAAATTCACTGTGACCAGAGAGAACCTTTCCAGGCAACACCACTGGGTGCACTAACTCAGAGCAAGTTGCTCAATGCTGGCCTAATGGGAAAAATGAAAGCTCCCTCCAGCACAGGGGGCTTTTTGCCAGTTTTGGGGGGGTTACCCCCTTATATGGGAGAGAGAGAATAAAGTTATACGAAATGATAACAATTGTTGAATCTAAGTGGAGGAAATCAGAGTTTCACTCTATTCCGTGAATGTTGTTTAAAACTTCATTTAAAAAGCATAAGAAAAATAATACCAAGAAGACAGACATGAAAAAAAAAGAAGACAGACAGGTACACAGGCTGGAAAACGTCTAAAGAGAGCTGAATTTCCCCATTTGGGATCATTAAAATTAATCTTAATATCACAAATCACTCAACGACAACAACAAAAACTGTTCCCTACTAAAAGAAGTGGTAGTCTAAAGAAAAAATACATTATAGATTCTACGGATTTGGGGCTCACAGTTAATTCTAGTCCTCATTTAAGAACAATTAGTTCTTATGACACGGCCCTCTTGATGCTCACCCGCATAAAGATCGCTGAAGACATGGGTGCTACAGCAAAGCGTGGTGAGGAAACCAGCAGAAAAAGTAGCATTGGGGATAGTAAAGGCTTATCTTCATACAAGCAGCCATCTAAGTGAGGGAATCAACTAACTCTATGGAAGAAGCACAGCAGTCTGTGAGCTGCGGATTGCAAGTAATAAAACCCAAGTCCAAAGGACAGAAGGGTATCAGCACTTAAAGTGTGAACACTTGGTCTGCAGAGATTTTGGATGATGGTGGAAGCACAAAATCCATTTGCAGGCTCCACACATGGATTAAGCCTCTGGTGAATCCCCTCTGGCCACAGTCAAGGGATGCTGAATAGCCTTGTTATCAGACAGAGAGCACTGTAATGCCAATTATGACAGATGTCACTAGGTTAAAATATAATATATTATTATTTGATCTCCCTTTTGGACCATTTTAAAGTTGCTTAACTTAAAAAAAAAAGTGAAGGAGAAATACATGTGGATTAAGCCTCTGGTGAATTCCCTCTGACCAAGAACCAGAGATGTGAATAGCCTTGCTGTATCATGCAGCGTGCATTAGAAAATGGATTATTGCAAATTAGGTTAAAAGTTAACACCTTATCATTTGACTCACTTTAAATTTGTTCTAGTTTTTAATATTTTCTACTTTCTGTATATGAAATCCAGGATAGGCAAGTGTACAGAAGCAGTTAAGTAACTGGATTAATGGTTTCTTAGGGGTATTACAAGGGAGGTTGGGGGAAATGGGGTGCAAACAATAATGAGTACAAGAAAGAAGAAAATATTCTAAAATTGTGGTGATGATTGTCCAGCTCTTCTCAATATGACTGAACTAGTGAATTGTATGACACTTGAGTTATACACAAATAAAATTGCTTCTTCAAATGTACAAGATGTTCTAGGACTGTTCTATTTAATAAATATTAGTGTTAGATAAAATTTTAAATTATTCTTTCATTCCAGTTCCTGGAGATAGTTTGGTTTGGGGGAGGAAAAAAATTCTATAAAATTAGATCTGCAAATTAACAGTCCTATAAAACACTATATTGCTGATAAAGAATCCTGGTTAAAAATATCTAACCTCAATCTAATTGTAAATATTCAGATTTTAAGACAGTTGATAAGGCAACCAAGAAATAAGAAACCACAGAGGGGATGTTCTAAATTTCACACTAACGAGAAATGGCAAGCAAGTGCAATGTCTGATCTTTGACTAGATTCTGGATCCATTTTTTAAAAGCCTATATTGGAATATGAACTATATTTTAGATTACATTATTGTAGCAGTGCTAAATTCATTGCATATAGTTAATATTCCACATTAAATAACCACAATAGTTTTTTTATTACTCCAGGAAGTTCTTTTTCAAAGCTAACAGTCTGAAATTGTTAAGATTGAGAGAACATCCAAATGACTCAGCCAGAAGACCAGAGAGAAGGGAACAGAGGTATAAACTGAGAGGCTGAGAATGAAAGCCTATGGAATAAGATGTTAACAATGTCTCTACACAAAACAAAACTTTGCTATACTTTACCTGTGGCTGGATTGATGCTTGCAGCAATGTGAAAATGACACAGTGCATTTGCATGGTGGGAAATATGCCTTTGAACTTCGTGTGTTCCAGTCTGGTCAGGCATTACTTCAGTGTGAGTTACAAGAACAGAAGATCTTCTTTGTCCTTTTCTTAAATTTTTCAGATGGTGTATGGTCTGAAATAAAACATAATTGCTGAACCCAACTCTGGGAGGTATAACAAATGCCAACCAAAGTACCCTTTTTTTGGGCCAATAACTTAATAGTTTATTAGTCAGTCACTAATGTTTCAAATATTTTTAATTACTTAAATATATATAGTTGGCAGCAAACTATTATGTTACAGAGTGTTAAATTACCAGTAAAACAGGCAGACTAGAGATTTACACATGTGGAAGATAACAATAAAATAAGCAAAAATATTTAACCCAAGTACTTCTGATTATTACAGATTTTAAGATTTTCCTCTCTGTAAAACCTATTTGAAAAGAAACTTTCTTACATATGCTAGAACAATGCTGAAAATATTCCGCACAGCTGGTGTAGAGTTTAGAGTTCAAAGCAGAGAGAAATGACTCAGAAAAACTCATGTTCTCTATGCAAATCCCTGAGACCATCAGGAGATCTGAAGTCTGGTGACTTGGTAGGTTGGTTGTTCAAAATACACTAGTACTGAGAGGTGACGGAAGTACAGGGAGAAAATTTTTACCCAAAAGGAGAATATTTCCTCAAAAATTCTCATTTAAAAGCAAACATCTAAATAATCAGATGTAATCTCTGTTAGAAGAAAAGGTAAAAACACTGGATAGAGAGGGGAAGCTACTTAGATATATAGGAGTACACAGCAAAGAACTCACCGGTGGCACAACTTTAAGGGAGGGGTGCTAGATAGTAAAGCTCTCTAGTAGCATACCCAATCATCAGGCGTATTCTGAACAATGGGCCAGGTCCCTCTGGACATGATCCTTCCATATCACCAAGACCATTTGCCTTGTTTTCATGCTTTATAATAAAGTGTGGCATGGTGAATGGCATGTGAGAGGGAGATTCATCATTAAGTCCTATCAGTTCTTTCTCCATTAAAATGGCCCTACGTCTGATCCTTTTAATTTCCACGGTCCTCCCTTCACAGAAGCCCCGGAGGTGCAGCACTGATCATAGCACCTTCCCTGCTAATTAAAGGGTCAGCAGGCTAACCCAAACAGCTGCCCCACGGGAAAGTGACCGGGCAGTGTATTTCCATGAAGATCACCCCTGTAGGATCCTACTCTGTCCTATAGGGCCACTGTGAATTAGAACTGATTCTACAGCAGTGAGCCTGGGGTCTCTCTTTACATATGGAAACCAGTATCAGTTCTGTGATGTGGCACCTCCTTCTGCTCCCTTTGTTGTACTTTTTTCTTTAATGACAGGATTAGAGATGAAACCCCTCCATCAAACTCTAACCAAAGAATATCTCAATAAATATCAAAACAAACTCCACTATTCTTATTTCTACTTTTAATTGTATTTATGCTTTGAATGCTGGAAGTGTACAGATAGTGCTCAATCACAGACACTATCAGAGTAGGCTTACATAACCTTCTAAGGACCACACATCCTTAGCCTATCATGCCCCTGAAACGTTTCTGCTTGGTGAGACAGTTAAGCTGCTAATATAAATGTAAGATTTATATTACAAAATTATACAAAAATTATATTACAAAAATTATAAAACTTTAATTACTAAATGTAAAAAGTTATAAAACAGTACTATATGATATGATCTCAAACATGTAAAAATGAAAGAAAAATACATACACATATGACCAGAACAGTTGGATCATAAATTCTTTTTTTTCCTTTCTATTTGTTAATCGATAGGGTTGCTGTGAGTCAGAATTGACTCAATGGCAGCAAGTTTGCATTTTATGTCAGGATATCCTTGACTAATGAAAACGGCCCCATGGAAACAAGAAATCTAAGTTAATTATAATGCATTTCTGGCCATTTTTAATATTGTGTAGGCCTCTTTTTTTTTTTCTTTAATCACATCTGGACACAACAGTTTATACTATCTATAAGCAATCTAACTTATTCACAGAAAGCACTGCTATCCTGCAGCAAAGTTGGTGAAAGAATTTCTGTTTCACAATACTACAACATGGAAAGTGCAAAGCAATCCTATAGGTTCTTTCGTGTCTAACATCCTAATAAACAACATCCTTACCCTTAAGGATCAAAATAGTCCTTTTTAATCAGAGCAAGAAAGGAAAATTTAACCCTCATGAAACAAGTGAGAAAACTTTAATTACAAACAATTTTAAGGACTTAAACATGTTTCACTATTAAAATTGCTTACTCCTAGTTCTTATATTTGACATGCAAAAGGAAAGAATTTATATTACATTATTTACATGGACTACCAGTCCAAAAGAGTGCCTGTCTATCTTTGGGCTCTCACTGATGTAAAATTAGCCGTCTGAAAGCCGTAAGTTGCATGCAAATTGCAGTGAGGTTCGTTCTTACATGTACTACAAGTACCACCTGCACCTTTTGCTTATGAAGTTCCACTGGACAATTCATTCAGCATCCCAAAGGATACAGTACCTCGAGAGCATGCTGTATTCTGTCTTTGTGGACTCCAGCATGAGAAAGACTGCTAGCGATGCTAGACGTGGTCCTCTCGCAGATCTGCTCACCCAAGAGACAGTCCTCCGGTAATAAGGTTTCTGCCCAGAGCCGGCAGACACCATCATGGCATGAGGTTAGCAGCACGTTACAGACAGAGCCTCTGATGATGAAGAGAAAGAAAAGCAACCGTAACTACCACTTCCCTACCTTCATCTTTTATAGTTACTGATACTTGACTCTTCACATATAAAGATGACACTGGTATACAATCAGCATAGTCTATGCGTAGCTATTTGTCTAAGAGTGCTAAAAGATTTCCACGGATTGTCTTGCATGCTCACTGATTACCTGCTCACATCTGTAAGGTGTCAGGCTAGACACTACGCTACGGTCAGTTACCATGAAATGGAAGCAGCCTAGCTGCCTGTGACACTTCTCTTACTCCATTAAAATCACACTTTGAACCAGGGAGCCTAAAAAAAATGATGCACTGTGCTTCTAATGGTTTTACAAATTAAGTGGCATGGGAAAAGGCAGCCAGTCAAAGACCCTGTGTGCAGCACAGTGAGCATCACTAAGCTAGGAAGGGCGCTGACAAAGAGAGATGAATGCCAGCAGATCACCGTGTGCTGCCTGAGCACAGGCTCTAAGGCACTGGTGGGGTCTTCGCAGCAAAATAACAAACTAACCAGCAAAAGAAAATCTACATGTTGCAAATTACAGAATGGCCATACAAAAAGGCCATCAAACACAACTAGGTTGTCTGGCGTATGTCAGCAGCTCCATCATTTCCTATCATCTGCCTTCATCTAAACCAGTATTCCCCAAAGTGGACAACATGGGTCCTTAGGGGCAAGGGAACAATCCAGGGGAATCTACAAAGCAGGTAGAGCCCTACTTCAGAAAGCCGAGGTATAGACAGTTTAAGTAATTTAGTCAAAAGCTGACACAGCAAATGGCAATGTCAACCATTTGAATTCAGTTGTTTGTTTGTTTGTTTTTTCAAATTCCAGGGCCTGCATTCTTAGTCACCACCACATCAAGACAGTAAAAGGAGCTTTGTTTGTATTGCTTATGCATGTGGATAATATACAGACGCATACAAGCTGAAGTTATATGATACATTTGTCTAACCTGGGCATATACTTGCTAGTTTTACGCCACGAAAAACCTGTCACCGCTCGGGGATGTGCCAAATAAACAAAGGAAAACTGAGTACACGCCTGCCTCCTTTTCACTTCAAGGTGATCCTGAGGAATAATTGAAGACTTCCAACCAGTCATAGGGTACCACACTTTCAAAAGACAGTCATCCTGCAAAACACGTAAGTCGATACAAGATTAATTTACACCTTCACAGCTCAATATTTAAGTGACTTGAAGCTTTTAAATCAAGCTCCACCTAAAAACGAATACATGATACACATATATACATAGATGGGTGTGTATATGTATATGTTTCCATGTTACAAAGGTGGTCTGACTCATGCATAACTCAGCTTCCAAACCAACACTCCCCCGCAAAGCTTGTTATATTTAAAGTTGAATGTACATCATAATGAAGGGGCACAACTTTGCAATGCACAATAAAATGCTGTTGCTATTATTACTGTATTTATTACATTAAAACCATTTAGCCATTTGAAACTATTTCTGTAATGTTTTTATTCATAGAAAGGTACACTATATAACACATACTAAGGCAAACATTTGACTCACTGACTTTAGATAAGGACCATACAGAACTGTTTTGACTTAAGTACAAACTTGACTTAAAGACAGACTTAGGAACAGAACTTCATTCTGAATCCAGGGACTGCCTGTAGAACAAGGTCAAATTTTAAATGGCATTATTACTCTAGAAAATACAGTTCTTGACAGGTAAATTGACAGTTTGTCCATCATCAGTTTTCTCTATGTCACAGTGATTCTGAAATGAGTCCTGATACCACATTCCTCCACTAAAATGCTCACACTGAAGTCACAGTCGTGGTCCTGAAGAGATGTTGCCACCAGATCCCAGCTTCTCGGTGCCAGTGAGAAGGAGAAGAATGAGACTACACTGTCAGCTGTTGTTATCTATTCTTTCTGAAGAGAGCTATCAGGGCAGAAATCTTTTAAAATATAAATTGCTCCAAGCTCTAAGTGAGGAGTCAGCAAAAAAAATTTCTTTTCAGTAAAGGGCTAGATGATAAATATATTAGGCTTATGAACCCCAAGGTCTCTGAAACACACTCTTCTTTATCTTTCACTTGTTTTCCCCTTACAACCATGGGAAAGTGTGACGAGTCAGCTTAGCTTGAGGAGCATCATTTCCTGACCCCCGTTCCAAGGAGCAGCTCAGGTACCACATCAGGGGCCACTTGGAAGATGTATGCGCACAGCACCAGGGCTCACTTCATCAGTTCACTTAGTTCTAACTCTCTGATTAGAGGCCTAAATAACTGTGTCTTAATTAACAGAAACTATGTACCTTATAGTGTTTCATACTTAAGGGTAGCAACACAGTAAAAAAATAAAAACACGAAATGTTCACTTATGTAAAAGCTTTGATTTCTATGAAACCGTGAAATGATATATTCTTGAGAAATGTGTACTGTCTTGAAAAATGTAAACACTTGGGCTTTTGTTTCCATCTTGGGACTCACTCTCATTGATACTGTACAATGAAGTGTATGTTTCCTTTAACATCTGGCTTTTTGGGGTAATTTAACTATACAGCAAATCTTTTTAAGTGCTTTCTCTGAGATATTACTTAACACTGTACCATTTGCTTTACCTTATTCATCTCAGCATCACTTTCACCTAACCAATCGGGTGTAACCTACGATAGTGGATTTCACACTGTGCCCCACCAAGGCACGAGAGGTTCCACAGAAACCTGCAGGCGTCGCAAAGGAAAAGGCAGAGACCCTCCAAAGGGGCACTCCAGCCCCTTCTGCCACGCCCACCAAGCTCCTCATTACAGCAGCTCCTCTTTCAGGACTTGCTGCAAATTCAAGCAAATGGAAATTGCAAGGTTTTGGTTCTCCCAGTTGAGGGTGAAGGAAAAGGCCAGTCTCCTCCCCTGTCTTTCACAATTCAGTTTAGATAACTTGAAATTGAGAAATCTTTTTCTGTAAATCTACGATGCTTAATGACCTGGCAGCCACATTTTAAAAGTATAACTTCATGTAATCTTCCCCTCCTGCCCAATTTCCCCGAAGGAGGAGATTATCAAAACCTCATGTGGATCAGGGTCCAAATTGGAAATCTATTACATACATAGATATACAGAAAGATACTAGAAAATTAGCATTTTATCTTGAAAACGTGAATGCAACAAGTAAGACTTCTTCCTATCTTTGCAATCTCCATGAGGATTGCAATTAATGGTATGAAACAAAGGGTACATGAATTATTGAATGGAAAACTGATCTACTCTCTAAACCTTCATTTGATTCACAAAAAAGGACTGGTAAATGGAAAATGTGGCCTTGATGATAGAAATGGTTGCATGACAGAATTTTGCAAGACCAACAACTTATTCACTCAAAAAATCTTTTTCACAACATAAATGCTGAATGAGTGTGGACTTCAACGGGTGGAATACACAAGAATCCAACCGATAACATCATCTGTGGAACCCGGATGAAGAAGCTCCATATCATCAGTCAAAACATATCCCGGGCTGACAATGGAAGAGACCCCCAATTGCTCACGTGCAAGGTCAGGATGAAGCTGAAGAATATTAAAATTAGTCCCCAAGAGCCAAGATAATGACCTTGAGTATATCTCATTGAATTTCAAGACCATAACAAGAATAGGTTTGCCATGTTGAACACTAATGGCCAAAGGTTAGATGAACTGTAACTACATCAAGAACATCATTTCTGAAGAAAGCCATTCATTCAAAGAATAGGAAATTATATGCAAACTTTATGCAAATAAAACTGTTAAAATTTTAAAAGTCAAAATAAGCAATCATAAAAGGACAGGAAAGTGGAGATCAGAAGAGACTCTGAAACTCACTCTTGAATGCAGAGTTGCTAACACAAGGAGGAAGAAACAAAGACGTAAGAGAGAGAGAAATGGCAAAGGTAGCTCAGGAAGTAAAACATTGTAATGAAATGTGCAATGGCCTGGATTTAAAAAAAAAAAAAAAGGAAAGAACACATTTTCACCTTTCAAAATTAAAGAACTGAAGAAAAATTTAAAGCATTCAGCTGAAATACTGAAGGATTCTAAAATCCTAAACAACCCAGGGAGCATCAAAAGAACACAGTGAATACATACTCTCACTGTACCAAACAGAATTGGTTGATGTTCAACCGTTTCAGAAGGTAATGCATGATCAAGAATTACTGATGGAATTGAAAGAAGTTAAGTTGAACTGATGGTACCTGCAAAAACCAAGGCTGGATGGAATACCAGTTGAGATGCTTTAACAAATGAATGCAATGCTGGAAGCCCTCACTCATCTATGCCCTAAAATGTGGCCAACAGACTGACAGAGATTCATATCTGTGCCTATTCCAAAGAAAGATAATTGAGTAGAATATAGGCATTATTAAACAATATCATTACTATCACACTCAAGTAAAGTTTTGCTGAAGGTAATTTAAAAGTTGCAGTACTACGTTGAAAGGGAACTGCCAGAAATTCAAGCCAGTTCAGAAGAGGATGTGGAATGAGGGATATCATTGCTGACATCAGATGGATCTTGTCTGAGAGAAGAAGATAACAGAAAGATGTTTACCTGTTTTGACTATGCAAAAGGAGCTAACCATGTGGATCATAACAAACTGTGGATAACATTTTAATGAGTGGGAATTCCAAAACAATTAGTTATGCTTGGAGTCTTGATGGAATAGTAGCCACATGTTGGGCTGCTAAGGCCTGGTCACCAGCCAGTCTATAGGAGAAACGCAAGGCTTTCTACTCCCCATAAATAAATAGGTACGGTCTCAGAAACGCACAGGGGCAGTGCTACCCTGTCCTATAAGGTAGCTAGCTCTAAGTTGAAGCTGACTTGATGGCAGTGAGTGAGTGAATTAGCTAGTTTTATTATGCTCTTGTGGGACCTGTACATTGAGGAAGTGGAAGTCAATGTGACAAAACAAAGGGATGCTATGAAGTTTAGGATCAGAAACGATGTGTGTTAGGTTGGATTCTTTCATCGTACTTCTTCCATCTGTATGCTAAGCAAATAATCCAAGAAAATGAACCAAATGACTATATGGCATCACGACTGGAGGAAGAATAACCTTCATTCAATATGCAGACAAAACAATCTTGTTTGCCTTTTGAAAGTAAACAGGGCTTGAAGTAATCAATAATGAAGGTCAAAGACCTTCAGCATGGATTAGACCTCAATAAAGAATGCAAAATCCTCACAGATGGACCAATAAGTACCATGTGACAAATGAAGAGAATAATTGTGACTGTAAAGGATTTCATTTTACTTCGATTCCTCAATCAATGCCCGTGGAGCAATAGTCAAAAAAAGCTAGTGCCAACGAATTGCACTGGGCAACTCTGCTGAAAAGACCTCCAGAAACTGTCTGCGGCCCTGTGTAAATGTAGGTGGAATTAGGTGATAACAGCAAACTACGATGGGGCAACCAGAGAGATAAGAAAAGCAATAGAATGTGCTGTGTCCCACAGGACAAGGTATGACAAAATTATAAATTATCAAGGGCTCCTGAGGGAGCGGGGAGCGGGGAGGAAGGAGAAAAAATGAGGAGCTGATGCCAGGGGCTTAAGTGAAGA